CGTTGAGTTGCTGCTATGAAGGCTCACACATGAAAAGGCAAGAAGTCACAGTACTAATAAGAAAACTGTATGACTGTGTGAGTTTTGGAATATAACATGTATAAAGGGCAACACATAAAGAACTGTTAAACAGTGTTAAGTGTGTGTTTATATGTACAAATGTTTGCATAGATCATTCAGCAGTTGTATTTAATTTGATATATGTTCTCAACTCACACTTTAGTTATCTAGCAGTTTTGTACAATAGAATTAATTTGTAAACACTGCCAGAATATTTTCTAGCTGGTTTGTAATTTTTTAAGAGTTTTTTTAGATGTGGATCTGTAAATAAAATTGTAGTATTTAAAGTTTTTTGTCTTGTGGAAGAGGAAAGTAAAAGTTGTGTGAGCATGAAGATTTTGCGAGACAAAGGGGCACTTTTGCGAGGGAAGAGAAAATGAAGACTAATGCAGACCATCTTTTTTTTTTGTACAAATGAAATACTAATCTAATTTAGCTTTGCATTGTATGCTAGTTTAAAAAAAAAAATGAAACCACAAACCTGTAAAATACTGTAAAAAAACAAAAAGAAAAAAACCAACAAAAATAGCTTTTATGGTGAGTTTTGTAAATAGATTTATTAAAGGGTGACTTGTTCTCTAGCTGTGATCTTACCACTTCAAATGGATGTAATTTGAATAAATTTTGTATGGTAATGAATCAATAAAAAGGAGTTTTTTAAAGAGTTTAGATTTGTGTACACCTATTTAAATTCTTCTTACTCTTGGTACCTATCATGCTGTTTCTTGAAGCCTGTTCCTATTTTCATTATTAGGGCTCACACTCATTTGACACCAGATAGTCTCAATCCCATTTTTTATTATGCCAACAATAAGTTTATCATGTTTTTTTTAAGCCAGAGTGTAACAAGAATGAAAGACACATGTATAGAGACACAGTAGGAAATCCAGAGGTTGGGATAACACAAGTTTATTTTTATTTATCCGCTCTCCTCCCATATGAGTTAGAAAGAGACTTCTTGCAAACTTCATAGAAATTGTGTTATTCTAGGATTAAATCACATCAATGCAGTTCTGCTTGACCTTCCTACTGATAATTCTCCAAAAGTTTCCTAATAATAGCTCTGAAAAGAATTTCTGTTTTCTTGAGTCACCACCAACAATCTCTTGCACCAGACATACATTTACAAACTCGTACATCCTTTCTGGTCTTGGTGCTGCACCTTTCTAGATACATGGCCATCCATAAAATCAAAGTAATATGGTTGATTGCTTAAATGTTGCACTTCTGAGCAAGCCTTATGTGTCTTGTCGACTTCTGCACCCTAGGAGAAGCTACTGTTTTCTCTCTATGCACCTGTACATGTTCTAACTTCTGCATGTAGGAGAAAGTACTGAAAGGAAGATTGCAAAGATCCTGTGTATATTCCTAATAAATAATAAAGGAGGGCTAGAGGACTGTGTTCTCTGATCTCCCTTTGAAGCAGAAATTACAATCTCTGTCTGTGCTACCTGCCATAGCCTGTTCTCAGTTTTTCTCTGTTCTACAGCTGCCAGAAGCACTTTATTTGCCCCTAGAATCTGCTATTAACTGCCGGTTTTTGTGTCATTTTCTCTCTCTTTTGCTTTTTATATCTGCTTTGCAAAGTTGGGATGTGCTGAGGTACAGGCTAAAAAATCAGTCAATTAAAATTAAATTAAAATTCTGCTCCTATGAACTGAATTGAGGTGTACCTTAACATTATTCAGTGTACAAGTATTTGTTTCAGGGAGGTTTTATTGGGGCCTCTGTGCTGCATTCCTCAGCTGCCAGCAGACAGAAAAGGTTTCGGAGAAATCTGTCAAAACTGGTCTGAATGACAGGCAACTGTTTACTCCTTTACACACAGGAAAAGAGTTAAGAAAAAAAAAAGTGGGGTTCATGCTCTTGAACCTACAGTAAGAATTCATCCACACAAGTGACAAGACACCATCACTTTCTCTCCTTTCTGACTTACACCTGAAAGAGTAAATTACATCATGGTCTTGAAGCAGATATGAACAATTTTGTTGTAGAAAGAAAGTAGACATGTCGGGTACCTTTTGTAGCATGAGATATTGCTACACGTTCAGAAGCATCAAATTTAGCAGTATATGTCTTTTTCTTTTCCCCTGTATGTAACTCTGTTAATGCACAATGCCATTAGTGTTCCTGGATCCCACAATTTTCAAGATTAAGTGAACCAAGAGCCTGCATAGCAAAGTCAATGGAGTGATACTAACAACAGCATAAACAAGTAGAATCCATCTCCCCGTTCTGCTTTTCTTGCTGAAGCAAAATCTGTCTGGATATTATGCTACAGCTAAGCAATGATCAGCAGAATACTTTGCCTTTATTAAGTCTGGGAGTTTCTTAACCCACTATTTTCTTTCGAAAACTTGACAGGAAGAAAGTTTCACATATAACAGGCTGGATTGTTACCAATTCTGAGTGGTGCTGAATGTTGCTCACAAACAGTGAGCCAGATTCTCCTAAATTCCAAGAATAGAGGGAAAAAAAATCTGATTTTTTATATCTATTTCAGGACTCTCCATTTTTTCCTCAATATCTTCCCACTTATTTCTACCCGGAATTGCATGTTAGTTATCAGACAATAAGGCTGCCATACAAAAATTGAGCCCTCACCTCCCTGGCTGTTTCCCTTCCCTTAAGATTGTAGTTGAGCTGCTCTAAAACAGCTACGAATGTATCTCCTACTAACCATGAGCTAAATTTTAGATTTGGATTTTATTTTCCTAGTAGTTTTTATATTTTCCAACTACCTACTCTTGCAAAACCTGTAATGACTTAAGATGGTAGCCCAGCCCAAGGCTGGTGTCTTCGATTCTACCACCCCTGAAGAGCAGAAAGTAAGGTATGCAGGCAGCTTGGAAAGGATGTATTCTAAAGCTGTTCCCTGGACATTCAGAGCACTGGAGCATGTATGCTGCCAGCCTATAGAAGGCCACTACTGGGAGTTGTACTGCCAGCCACTGTCACTTAAAAAGCAGTTTTCCCAGGTAGGTATAGATAAACTTTCTTCCTGCGATCAGGACGTAGTAGGAAATCATCTGCTTTCTTTTCTACCTGCTGTGCTACCTGCAGCCTGCATGCAGCTTTATTTGTTACTATGAATATGCTACAAAATAATTTAGATTTGTGAGCTTCAAAAGCACTGGAAGGGTGCCTTCAACGTTGTGGCTACATCCTGGGACTGAACAGAACTGTGCTGGCACAAGGGCTGCTTGATATTATGAATTCTTGGCAGTGGGACAAAGTAAAGCCTTTGCTGGATCATGCTGAAAGTGATCAGCGTGGCCTAATTATGTCACTAGGTATGGGACTCATGGGTTATTCCTGCCTGGGAGCTGCTCTTGGAGATCGCTGCCTAACCTTAATGAGCAGTGTTTGCCAATCTTGGCCATTTGGAGATTTTTGGTTATGTCTCGCAGGCCGTCTGTGCTTTGCTCTTTTAGTCAACCATAAACCAGCACTGGTGTCTGCCCTGTTTCGTTTAATCGGAGGGGTAACACTTGGCTAGTCAGGACAACTGTGAGGTAGTGCAGTGCCATGCTCCCAGTATAGAGAAGTTGAATTCAAGGACTGCATGTGAAACACTTAGAAAACTGAATATGGGAAGCTGAAAAGAAAAAACAAAGAGAATTGCTAACCTCAGTAGGACACTGATTGGTTATATAGATATCATTACTTACTGACACAGTAAGGACTTCTTACACCATACTGTGTAGGACTATGTCTGAAATAGATCAACCTGACCACTGACTATGAAATGTTTTCCTCCATTCTCTTCTGGGCTAAAAGTGCCACAAAAATAACAAATTACACATCACACTTTGTCTCGCTGAGAGTATCTCTGAAAAGTACTTGTGTGCTTAGACAAAGACCAGTCTCAAAGGCAAATATATCTTAAGCTGTAACAATGACTCTACCATGAAGCCAGAGTGATATTAATAGTGCTCAGTCCTGCCCAGAAAGATTTGTTCTTAAAGGCCAATTTAAACAAAGTGCTTATTTCTTTCTGTCCCAGTTCCCCTCTTCAAAATGCTCCTGTTACTTTGTTCTCATTGTTACTTTTTTTTTTTTTTTTTGCCCGTGAACACTGTCAGATAAGCATGGTATAAAATAAGTAAAAGGAGGGGGAAGTGATATTCGTAAGCAGAAGTTGCCAAGTTTTATCAGTGAGCAGACCAATAGACCTGTTCTGGAGTATACTCGGGGCTTTCATTCACTTTCCCTCCAGTCCGAGGGATACTATAATCTGCTATCTGGAGAATAAAATGATTCCAAAGGCTCCTTCTAAAGAGAGCAACTTAATGTTCAAAATGCAATTACAAGAAATGGTGACTTTTACACCCCAAAGCTCACTATCTGAAAATAAAATAAGTGTGTTAAAGATACAATGTAAACAATCTTTTTAGGCCAGCTGTGTATATTAATAATGAGGAAATAATATTATGCTCACACGCTATAGCACTTTGATCGCCAAGGACACTATACACTTCATAATCTGTCTGCTTCCTAAATATCAATAAGAAAAGTTGTTACTAGCCTGAAATTAGAGGAAAACAAAGCCAGAAAATTTAGCCATCTCATATTAAATATTTTTATATGTAACATCAATATTTTTTAGACTATTCAGAAGAGTAGCTACTAGCGTTGCATTTTGAGGAAATTAACGATTAAAATTAAAATAAAAAAGAAAAAAAAAAAAAAAAAGCCTTGCGGCCAGAAGAGGAATGAATAGCTCATCACTCATCTGGATCAGATACATCAGAATCCCAACTGGTTTAACTGGAAACGCGATGCTAATTTCCCCAGTTAAAACAGAGGCGGGTGCCTCCGGGGATTCGGGGGGCGCTCCGGTTCCCCCGCTGAGGGACGGCGCTGCCTTGTGGCGAAGCGGCGGCACCTCGCCCTCCGCGCTGTTGTGGCCGCCGCCGGCCGCCGTCGTGGCGCCGCTGCGCGCGCGGGGCAGCGGGGGCGGGGCGCGATGGCGGAGACCGGGAGAGGAGCGGGTGAGTGGCGGGGCCGGAGCCGGACCGGGCCCTCTCCCCTTTCCCTCTCCTCCTTCTCCCTCTCCCTTTCCTTTCCTAGGCACCCGCCCCTCGCCCCTGGGTTGCCCCCTGCCCAGCCTTTCCCTGGGAGCTTGGGGTGGGCCCGTCTGGGTGGCTGCATTTGTCTGTGGATATATACGCACACACATATACGCACATATACATGTACACATACATATGTATAATAGTTGGTCTCGCAGTGTATGCACGCTACTGCTTTCTTCTGCCCCGGGATTTCATCCCAGGGCTTTACCGGGACACCTGTGGGTAAATAGAGGGAAAAGAGCGGTCGTCTTCTTCATGCATGAAACTGTTCTCTGTGTGGAAAGCCCTCCCGTGGTATGTGCAAGGAGGTTGAGCAGGGGTGACTGAAATAACCTGGTGCAAGGGGAGTTCCGTTTTTGTCAAGGCGTTAAAACCGTTTTTATTATGTTTGGGTTTTTTTTTTTTTTTGTGGTTTTTTATTTTTTATTTTTTTTTTATTTACTACCATTCATATTCTTAAAGAGAAATGATAAGTTCTGTAGGTGCAGCTTGGTACTATGAGAAGAATACACTAACTTCTAATTTTGTTTTTGCCTCTGATTTCAGTCAATCTGTCAGAATAGCTGCTGGAATCTGTAGTTATTTCTTTGCTTCTTCCGTGTGTATTTAACTAATGCAGACATCGAGTTATCTGTTTTAAAATAGCTTCACAGTGTTTGTAATTGAAAAAAAAAAAAAGTTGTGGGTGGCTTTACCTAAAATTTACCGTTAATCTCTTTCCCTTCTTTCATTCAAAATTTTAAACTCCTGATTGAAGATGGAAATCTGGAGGAGGTCTGAGATAACGTAAATATGTCTGACTTTGACAAAAATGGCTGTATAAAAGAATGACAAAAAGAACAGTGCCTTCTGCTCAAGGGATAGGGAAAGCATGGCTCCTTGTTCCACCTTGTCAGCCAGTCAGCGTGTGTACCCAGTCAGATGAGGTCACATTGAGCAAGAAACATATTTCTGCAAAGGGAGGACGAATGCTTCTTGGACAATGACGTGAACTCATGGTTTTCTGTCTTCTGGTTTTGCTCCTTCATGCCATGTCTTTTTTCTTTTTTTTTTTTTTTTGTTTCTCCCCCCACAGGATTCCTATCCAAGAGGATTTAGACCTCGCTTAAAAAGGTAGGAGTTTTAATTTGGCTATATTCTTTCTTTCATGGGCCACTGGAATAAGCTAAGCTTATTTGCTTTGCTAGCTGCTCCATTATATTGGATATTTTTCTGGAAGAGAGAAAAGAACAACAAATCAAAACTTTTTTTCCCTCCCATGTACTCAGTTGATAACATTACCTATTTGTACATGCTGTCACTGGTATGAAGTAGTGTAAGAGATGTCACCTCCCCCTCATACCCTTTATTGCTGGACTTTTCACGGCAGTTTGTTTTTGTTCGTCCTTTGCTGCATTATTTTATAGATCCTGGGTTTTTTATCAAGATGAATCTTTAAATAGCTGTGGCACATGCATCCTCTTTGTGACGTCATTCTACTCCTTTTTAAGTTAAACACAGATATTTTGGTTCAGGTTACACGAAGTTTTATTTAGAAGTATATTTTGAAAGATTGACTGAAGGACACATGCTGGGAAAATGCACAGGTGTTTAACTTCTTATGTTCTGCAGTAATTCATTTTCAACATCTGGAAGTATCTTTATGCCAGTAGTGAATCTTCTGTTCCTGAAATCTGGTTTTAAAGAAATTAAAGCCTTGGTTGTTTTGTTCTTCTCTGTGAGATAGGAAAGTGTTGTATTTTCCCTGTAAACTCTGTGAAATGCCCTTGCGTGATTTCCTTTGTAAAATGTTGAGATACATAAAACCCCAGGTTTCCAATGGTACATCAGACTATATTCTAATTAAGAGTTAGTTACACACAGCACAGTGTGAGATGTGTATTTAATGCAATAACTTTTTGTAGGCTCTTTTAGCAAATAACTTTTTTTTTTTCAGTTCCTGAAAACTAATCTGGATCTTGACATCTGCTGGGAGGATTATATATGCATATTTATTTACTTCCTTGTGGAAAATATAATTAGATTCTAGTGATCTTTTAGTATATTATACTAGCCATATTATAAACTGTTTATTTTATATTAGTTAGGCTTAATGTCTCATACCTGAAGATAGAAATGTTTATTTTGCTGTCCTAATGAATGAGGTAGTTCAGATGAAGGGCCTGTGGGACCAGGAATTCTAGAAACAGCTTGGTTTGTTTTCAAAAAGACTGTGAAGACATACTGTCTTGAAGAAATACCATGCACCTGTTTTCAGCATAGAAATAAAAGAGCCAGAACAGCCTCTGAAGCAGGAGCTTAAATTCTGTATCTTTCATTCTTCTGTGATGTGAGTGGAAGCACATCCGTCACATAACATGAAGTCATTATTTTATTATGATGCAGACATGGTTAAAAGTACTTGTGTCTTGGATATGTTGTGTCAGAGGAGCTGAAGGGTTTTTGAATTAGAAGATGACAGATTATTTTAAAAAGGCTCTAAAAATCTATATGGCTTGTGGGTTTGTCTTTGCCTGTGCTTGATGCCCCTAAAAATCTGTATGGCATTTGTGACTCTCCCTACCTGTGTTTGAGGTATCGGGGAAGAGGGCATCAGAAAGCACCTCTGCATAGATGTTGGTTTTTATGTGTTCAGTCCCTCATGTGTATGATATATTGCACGTATCTGAGAAATATATCTGACTTTTATTTGTGAGAACATATACAGTAGATACTGGGCCTTGGGTTTGTATTCAAATGCTTGCTAATGCCTGCCTTCTCTAACACTTCTTGAAGATGCCTGCTGCCTGTGATTCAGTGCTTGAGGATATTGAAGACATTGTGTCAGCAGAAGATGTGAAACCACACGACCGACAGTTTGTGAGAAGGAATGTTTTTCCAAAAGTGCGAAAACGCAATTCACAAAAAAACGTTCAGACAGAAGATGATCCCCCAAGTGACAGGTAAAGTCTCACATCGACCCTATCTTGTTACTTTTCTTGCAGCTTGTATACGCTGTCAGCTTCTAAAAATAAGGTGGAAGTTCTCATTATCTCGTAAATCTGAACACAGGAGAAAAAAGAGTAAAATAGTCTTCATAAAATGTAGGGAGAATAAGTAATAAGTCTGAAGCAAATTTATTTTCCTGGGCAAATTTTCTGTAGAAATCAGTAATCACTGAGATGCTGATGAAGGGAATAATCAGACCGGAAAAATGGTTTCTGTTACACTTTATGTGTAAAAAAATTTCTGAAAAACTGTCTGCTTCATCTTAATTACCTAAATAGAAACTGAGCTCTTCAAATAGCAGTCCTCGAGTAGCCTTTTGGCATCTCTGATGAGAAATAAGAACAAAATCCTGGGAGCTGCAAAAGGGTTGAGGTTGGAAGGTCATCTTGTCCAAACCCCCTGCCTGAGCAGGGCCACCAAGAACCGGTTGGTCAGGACTGCTTTTTGGACTAGATACTTTCTGAATATCTCCAGGGATGGAGATTCTGCAACCTCCCTGCTTAACTTGTGCCAGTTGCTGGTCATTTTTAAAATGAGAAAGGCGTTTCCAGATGTTCAGAGGGAACTGCCTGTGTTTCAGTTTGTGCCTGTTGCCTCTGGTCCTGTCATTGTGCACCACTGAGAAGAATCTGGCTGTGTCTTCTTTGCACTCTTCCTTTGGGTATTTATATACTTTGAGATCTCTCTGGGCCTTCTCCAGGCAGAATAGTCCCAGCACTCTCAGCCTTGCCTCATGTGAGATGTGTTCCAGTTCCTTAATGATCTTTATGGCTCTTTGTTGGACTATCTCCAGTACATCCATATTTCTCTTGTGGATGCATCTCGTCAGTGCCCAGGGACTTATGCATGCTCAGTTTGCTGAAGTATTCCTGACCCGGTCCTCTTTAACAAAGGTTACATATTCCTTGCTTGTCTTTCATCCTGGTTTCTGGAACCTGGGAATTCCAGAGGCTGTACTTTTTGTGTGTACATCCTGCGAGTGAAATGGTGAAACTTCTTTTGAACTTGCTGTTTATTTCGGTGGAAATAGTATGCAATAACCATGGAATGTATCTTTGCATTTTTCCTACTTGTGATTCCCATAAGAATGGAATCAGCTTTCTGCTGCAGTGGAATTGATTAGAGTATAGGTCAGCTCATTTATTGATTCTAGTTTCTACTGCATTTCTGAGATCTGGATTTTTTTTCCTCTTTCTTCCTCCATTAGTTTCGAGTTGGTGGATAAAATTTCCCTGTATGATAAAGATGAAAATAAAATAGGTATGGGAATTTAATTTCCTGTGGGGAAATTAAATTTTGTTTTTTTCATTAGTGTTCAAAAGAGATTTTGTAAGCATAACAATGCATCTTTATCTGAATGCCCCTAGAAGTGCATTGGCCCCAGTCTGCCAGGAGTGTATGTACAGCTGAAGTGGTGCTGTGTAGATACTTCACACTAGCATGTCATGCACCAAAGCATTCAGGTACTATGAATCTAACAAGCTGTGTTTTTAGTGTTTTTGACCCAAGAAAGCACGTTGAGCATGTGTTGTTTAGACAGTAGGAAGTCTAGATACACTCTGTTTACACTTAATGATCATTAATGTTCCATCAACAAATTTCTATTTCTAGCTAAGGGAAGAATCTTTTAAAAAAAGAAGCGTGGAGGGGAAGGAAAAAAAAAGATGTACGCAGGGCAAAGCATTGTGTACCAGGACGTGTGGTGTTCTTGTACTGGCATCTTTAGCTCATTGGCAGTTATCCCAGGAATTTCAGTGAGAGCTTCTTGCAGAACTTTTTGTTGATTCTTTAGGCACTGTGTGTGCTATCTCCAGGCTGCATGTCTGTCATGCTCCTTCTGTAACCCAGAAAGATTGGGATATGTGCTTTCAGATGGTGGTGGTGTGGCTGGTGGCCACTAAGTTAAGAATTTATAAAGCTGGCTTGTATGGAGGGAGCTACAACCAGTGGGTGCCATAATATAAAAGGTTGCAGTTTAACTCTTCTCGGTTTGTTTGCTGGTGGTCTAATTTCAGTGCAGTTACTTGAAGGTCACTTGTTAGGATAATTTTCAGAAAGTTAGGGAGTGTTGGGGTTTTGTGGGGGTTTTTTTGTTGTTTTTTTGTTTGCTATTTGCTTATTTGTGTGTTTTTGTTGAGGTTTTTGTTTTTGCTTTAACATAACTGCAGTGTGCTGAATCTCTTCTTGTCCTACAGCTCTTGTACCTTCTCTGTTCTAAAAATCTTTTCAAACTGTTTTCCAGCTGTTTGTGGATTGACTCCACCACAAGGGAGAGAATTGGAAGAGTGAAAGTGAGAAAACTTGTGGGTTGAGATGAAGGCAGTTAAAGTGAAGGAAAGAGTAGGGAAAAACCCCAAGTGATGCAAAAGTGATCACTTGCCACCTCCCACAAGCAGACTGGTGCCCAGCCAGTGTCAGAACAATGGCTATTTTTGAAAGATCAAACCCACAATTTTTATTGCTGAGCATGATGTCGTCTGAAATGAATTATCCTTTTGGTCAGCTGTTCTGTTCATGTTCCTCCTGACCTGTTGTCCATCTCCAACCCACTTGTGGTGAGATGGACCACAGTGGGAAACAAGCAAGGATAGTTCAACAACAGCTAAAACATAGGGGTGTTATCAACACTGCTTTGGTCACAAACACCAAACACAGCACTATAGAAGTTGCTCTGAAGAAAGCTGACTCTATCCCAGCAAGACCTAATACCTATTACACTAAAATCACATAATAATAGTGGTTTTCCTCAGCTGTTTTGGAGTTGCTACTGTTTGTGTTGCATATTTTATATTTGAAGAATTACAGTTCATTGAGTCTGTTCAGTGGGCTTAAAGGGGAAGCTTGTTCATCTTTTAACTTGCCTTTTTCATTCATTTTTCCTAAACAGCATTATTCCTGGTGTTCAGAAAATCTGGATTCGTACATGGGGATGTTCTCACAATAACTCGGATGGTGAATATATGGCTGGACAGCTGGCTGCATATGGATACAAAATTACAGGTAATGATATGACTTGAGTAATTCAGTTTTTCTGGGGTGAATGTTCAGAGCTGTCAAACTGACATCATATGTTCTTAGTCTTAATAACAGTTTTGAAAAATCCCCTTCTGATCCCTTTCTGATTTGAAGGTGCAGAGGTAAAGTGTTTTCCTGGCATTAAACAGAACGATTACAAGATGAGTGCTTTCAGAATGGTTAGATTATCTTGACAGGGCAGACATCTAATAGGTGTCACACAGTGCCTTTTTTTGGGCATTTTGCTTGCTAACTGAATTGAAAAGTTTTCATAAGAGTGGAAGGGAAAGATATTAATTCTTGCTTTTCTGACTGCAAGCAGTGGAACTCAAGGGGCAGAGAGAGAAAGGTGGTGTGTTGTCACTTGATGAAGTGTGTGTTTGGTGCTGGAGCAGAGATGAACTACTCTAGATGAATGATCTTTTGTTTCAGGAGAGATGATCACTAGGATGGAGGTGGGATGATGCAGGTTCCAAAGAGCTGAAAATGCTATTTCTCCTTTCCTTCCAAGTACTTAAAAACTCTCTTCATCATTTTGTTCCTCCTTCCCAGTCCTAAAAAAAACCCCGAATTTGAGGTTGTGCCGACTACATTTCATCTCCTTAATGCAAATATGTTGACATAAAAGTTGAAAAGTTAGATTAATGTCGTATTTCAATAGCTAAGTATTTATCTGAATTTTTTGGTCTAGCTTATGACTAGTTAAAATAGAAATAAATTTTAGTCATTAATGCAAGTTCAGGTCTGTCTTGCATTTAAACTTGCATCTGGCTTGTACTGAAAGACTGCAGGGTCGTCTGTCCTGACATTTTTCTAAAAGTATTTTACTCCTGGTTTCACAAAATGATTTTTTCTTTTCTTGAATATCTCATGATACCGTTAAGCAGTTGCATCTCGTTTTCCTTTATTGCGGTTGATCTTTCTGCATTTGTATAAGTAAAAATTAGATACTCAATTATTCAACTACCTGAACCATTTTATGGAACCCAGGTGATTCTTAAATTATTGGTGCAACTCTGGAGTAGGTGTGCTCTTTCCACAGACAAATGGAGTGCTGGTCCAAAAAGTCTTTTTTGTGACAGCTGTTTGTGTGAGATTACAAATGGGTTCTCACTTTGCCTTGTTATGGCTTTCTTAATTTTAACTTCTCTTTACCTGAATTTTTTTAATGCATATTGTTCCAGAAGCTAATTCTGGCTTGTCAGGATTTCGATGGCTTTTCTGTGCTTTTGGAATTTTACTAGGAGAAATGTAGGAAAGATGGGGTACAGTGAAGAAATGAACTATGTTAAATTTCTGATACCTTATCTTTTCAGAAGATTAAGTGTTCATAACTTTCGAGTAGAAGTCTACATCTAGAATCTGAAACTGAGAACTAAAAATTGAATAAAAGCTGCAATTGCAGGGACAGGAATACATACAGAGTAATTTTGGTAGTTGTATATGAAATCAACTTCTAGTTTTGGTCATTATTAAATCGAAGTTTTGATTTAGTTAATTTCTGTGTATGTGTATATATATATTAAATCAAACAAATCCCAATGCCAGGTGATAGGCAGAAATTACGCAGTGTGGTTTCTTCTTTTTGTAATGAGGTAACTTCTTTTTGAGCTGATATTATTTAAGGTCCTGTGGAAATTTCCTTTTTGTTCAATGGAACAAAAATATTTGCTACAAGTTCTGGCCAAAGTAAATTTTTACAAACCCATCTATTGAGCTTTCTCTTTAATAGGTGGTTATTGAAGCTGGAACTGAGTGCAAGTGTAGCAACTGTGTCAGAATCTGAAGTGGAAACTAGTGCTGTGGTTCAGAGGGACCTTAATAGATTAGAAAAAGGGGTAATGAAAGCCATATGACATTTGCAAAGGCAAATGCAAAATCCTAGGATTGGCATAACTTCAGCTAGTGTTAAGGGTGAGTGTGGGCAGACTGACTAGAAAGCAAATTTGCAGAAGAAGATTTTGGGATTGAGGTAGACAAGAAATGAGCATGAGTCAGCAGTGAAGTCTTGTAGCAAAGAAGGCATACTGCATCCTGGGCTGTGTTAGCAAGAGTGCAGCCAGCAGGTCTGGGAAAATGGTCCTTCTTCTTTGTGTAGTACTTGTGAGATGGTGTTTGGAATGCTGTGTCCAGTAATCCAGCTTTGGTCCTTTTTTGGACTCCACAGGAAAAGACAGAGGTTGGTGTAATGGAGTGAGTCCAGTGGAGAGCCAAGATGGTTTGGGAGCACACAGTGTATGAGAAGAGATTGGAAAGGCTGGGTTTCTTCAGCTTTAAGAAGAGAAGGCTCATGGAAGATTCTAGTTGCAGACAGCAATGGCCAGTAGGAGAGTACAGAGAAAATGGAGACAGTTGCTTCTCAAAGGTGTGCAGTCAGACAACAGAGTCTTGCTCTTGACAAAATGGCAGTCCAGATTTTTAGCATCCAGTGCATAAGTTATTGCTCATGCTATCCATTTTTGATTTTTACTTAGAGGAAATGCCAATATAGAAATTTTCCCAATATTTCTCAAATATCTCTTGTAAATCTCTTCTTAAGAAAGCATGTTTTTTTTTTTTTTATAGTAGGTCATCTGGGAAGTTCAGATAGAATGTTAAGTAGGGATTTAATCTCTTTGTCCTATACAGTGAATTAGTTACTCAGTAATAGTAACTATTACTTGAAGTAATCCAAATTTCAAACATTTCTTGAAATTAAGCTTCGTATTGTTTACAGTATGGAGGACAGGAAAAAAAAAGAAAATGTTTTGCAAGAACTATTTTCTAAATCAGTGCCTGTCTCTGTTGCTAGAATCTGTTGTTACAGTGTCTTGGACAACTATTACTTAAATAAAAGTGTTTGGATTAGTCTGTTTCCTACATGTTCCTAAGCTTTTGAGTCAACACTTACTGAAAAGGTGATGGAATAAAGTCCTGGTTTTAGAGAATGAGGTGTGAGCTTTTCTTGCAGTTATTGCTCCATTATAAATGAAATGGTCAAGCACTGTTTCTAGTGTCTTCTGTCTAATTGTAAGATTGAAAAAAAAAAACCAGAAGGAAGAAAAGCAGCATCAGACAGTTTCCTCTTGGTAACTAGAAGTTGTAACAATGCAACCTGCCTTATAAGTTGACTTACCTGAAAGTGAATATTGATATAATGTCCTCCTGGCTTTTCATGTGTTTTAAAAATGTTCTTTCTGTACAAGCAGCCTGTGTTGCTTTCAGGAGTGTCTGTATCCAAAGGTGAAGGCTGAGGGCTGTGCTACAGTTTTTCACACCAAAGACTACCTCTGTCTGGGGAGAGAGTGGAGTGTGAATCAACAACATCCAGATATTACAAAACAGCAATGATGATTAAAAGTCATGGACTACATCATCTTAAAAATAGGTAAAGGGAAACCAGAAGAGCCAAACCTATTTTTGTATCTGCTCTTACAGGGTGAAGGTAGGCAGCATTCTGAACAAATCTTGCATACCATCCTGTGAGAACACAAAGCTCTTTTGTGAGTCTGAGCCACGCAGAAATGTGTGGACCAGCTGCTATCAGTGAAGGGCTGTACCACGGGTACTTGTTCATATTCTGAAAACACTGCAGCTGACGGTGGCTTTACTGGTTCTAAAACTGGTTTTGGTTTCTTGGCAGCTTGACTTGCAGTATAGTTTAGATATGCCTGCAAACCTACTGGAATGTTCCCTTTGAGATACGCCCTGGAGGAAGAAACTCTCATGGTACAGACAAGTAATGCCTCCTGTGAAAAACAGGAAGTGGGCGAACTGGGAGCTTTCAAATATTGTGACCCAGATTTTTGTCTGGAAGAGGGAGTTCAGTACGTGTGCCACTTATAGTACTTTCTCTCTGAAAAGTGGAACTGAACGTGTGTGACATAGAAGACATTGACGTCTGAAGCGAGTAGTTGTATTAGCATATGTTGACATTGGTAGGTTTCTGGTTCTGTGGAATTAATGGGTTTTGGTCCAGCCTTGAATGCATTTTGATGGATCAAGCTGTTATGTGTGCTTGTTGTTTTGTAGTGATTGCTTCTGGCTTGAGGCTGTTCAGGTCCAAAGCATTTCCTCCTTGGTCATTGTAAAACATACTGGGGGCAGAAAAGGCATTGCTAATGACTTAGTGTTCATTCTTCTGATATTTCTAACTTTTTCTTTTATGAGGAGGAAGCAAAAACTGTTATTAAACATTCAGCAAAGCTAAACCAGTCACAGCTTATCTGCAATACTCTTCTGTGGTTTTTTTAGAAATAAATGCTAGCACGGAACTTTTTCCTCCTGTAGCAATGGGATTCTAGAAGCAAGAAGGGGTGGATTTGTTGTGTTGCTAATTCAGTTGTCTTGGTTTTGATTTAGCACCTGGAAACTAGGTTATATTATAAACCCTTAGCTTTAGTTGTGCAGTTTTAGACTAGTCTTTGGTCAGGCTTCCTTTTTACTGTCTCAGGAGGTTTTTTGGTGAGGTTCTTGGATGGAAAGATGCTGTATAGAGGTCACTCCATTATTGTGATTATGGTATTTGCTGGCAGGACTTGTATGAGTGAGATTTGCCAATTGCTATTGAAGTGTAGTGTTTATAATCCAAGTTATGTGTCTTACAGCTCTATAATTCCCTGTGCAGAGAATTTATGTATTTCTCTAAGCAAATATCAAATAGTGTTTTGAAACACTGCTAAAGAAATTATATGGGTTTTTTTGCCCCTTCTGCTTTTTAATTTTCTAAACACTTGTCAGTTTTGTTTGCCAATGGATATAGCTGAGGTATCCGTAAGACTGTCCATCTGCTTAAACAGCACATTTGAGTAGAAGAAGAAGACAAGGAAGAACAAATGCTTTTGATCTACTTAAGACCTCATGTTGAAAAGAAGACAGATGCAGAAGGAAACAGTCTGCTGTGGAAAAGCAGATGAGGTGCTACAATCTAACATGGACTTTGGTGTTCAACAGCATTGTCTAGGGTTGGTTGAGTTGCATAAACCATACTTGCTTAGGCTTTGGCC